CAATTGAATTTTTGTCAATTTTCTTTTACTTTTTAAGTGAAAATAGGTCTATGTGTCAAGGGTGTGCACAGTGCCACTTTTGTGCAATTCTAGGATTTTTTTTAAAGTGAAAATAGGTTGATGTGCACATGGATACCGAGTATGTGCAATTCTTAAAAACGCGTCAAGCAGTGGGTGATTCTGCACTTTACCTAAAATTCTATTGCTGACTTTTCGTCATGGGCAATTCTCAAATTGTTAAATCCATAGGATATCAAATAAGGATTTAAAATCAAAAAAGATTTAAAAATTAAACTAGTATGTCAATTGCCTCTTAAGAAATATAGAACTATATAAGCTTATGCAATCTGAAATCAATGTGTACGCTAGATTTGGCACTTTTGCGAATACATTTTCGCTGCAATTTTTTTACGGCCTGCAATAACTGAATAATACCTTTACGCATGCATGTACACATGTGCATAATACGTTTACGCATGCCCATTTAATGTATAACGGATGGTATAAGCTAAGCTGAAATTATATAATTATCTACTTATTTAAAATTATATACAGTCAAAAGTCGTTAATCTGGACACCCATAATCCGGACCTCAAAGATACAAACTTTCTGCGCATGCGTCAATGCATAACGCAGCAACGTAATACCTTTATGCATGCAGGTACACATGCGCATAATACGTTTACGCATGCCCGTTTAATGTATAACGGACGGTATAAGCTAAGCTGAAATTATCTAATTATCTATTTTAGTTAATGTTGCAGATTGTGCTGTTCCTTAATCTTCCATTTGGAACCGGCTTATTATTTTTTGCAGACTGTTAGATCAATTTTATAAAAGTAAGCTGAACTTTCGATTATGACAAAAAGAATTTCTGATTCTGGAGCTGCCAAAAGAATCTACAAAGCGAAAGCATGTTTCGATGTCCATCAAACAAAAAGTGGAGTTGCTGCATAAAATGGATAAAGGTTCCTTTGTTTCTCTAACCATTCCAAAATCTGTTTATCAATTTCACGCTGCTCTGCATTGGGGAGGGGGGGGACGTTGTGGCGCATAATGAACTGGAAGTTGATCTGTCAGCACTATCCTTATCTTGAGAGCAGATGTTTTTATTTTATTCGGCTTATAATGTAGTATTTCATTTCGATGTACTTCGTCTTTGATATGATTTAAATCTAAGTCCTCGTCATTATAAATATCACGAATACAAATCAAATAGTTTTCTGGTTGCAATTTTCTAATTTTGACTATACATAATGTATGCTTTATGCACGCACGCATTGAAAGAAATGTTTAATAAAGTAAACAAATAAATATTAAGCTTTTTTTGTAAATTTTAATACCCTTTAGATCATAATTGTTCTTTATTTCATAAATAACGGTTTCATATTTTATAATTTCTGCATGCCATTTTCAGATTTAAACTGATGATCTATAATCTGGAAAAATCGATAATCCGGAATCGCTGAAGTCCCGATGAGTCCGGATTAACGACTTTTGACTGTATTCTGTTAGAGTGGCATTCGTTAAAAATGCATCGCCTTTTTTTTTGCCACCAAATGTTGTAAAATATAAAATCATGAAATAATAATACAGTTAAAAAAACTTAAAAAAAAATAGTTACATAAAAAGTTAATTTTTAAAAAATTTTGTAGTTCTTAGAGAAAGTAAATATATCTTTTTAATATTTAATTTTCAATATTTTACACATAAATAAAAAAACAAGTGAAATTAAACAGGTGGCATAAAATTTTAAATATCATTTAATACTGCATTAAAAATTACACTGCTCCACAATCGCTCCACAGTTTGGGTATGGCATCCAGCTTCGAGGTTTACAAAATTGTAACTGTGATTCAGTGAAATGTTCATACCCAGCATTCTTAATTCCTCTTTCTTGTGTCCTTTCTAGCGGTCTGAAAATATAATGTTGCCATCTGCAATCTTTTCCTGAATGGCTGCCATCAATATTGTAGCACAACGATCGGGAACGGAGACTAGAAAGCATTCTTTGCTTTCCCGGCATAAACACCCGAATACCCATTGTTCCAGAAGAACATGTCCAAAGTTGTTTTCCCTTTTTTTTTTTTAAAGACTTTAAAGTAGTTATTACATTTTTTTGTCATACTATGGCTGATTTCTAACTGAAGTTAGCAAAATTCAGTTGACGTCAATTCTTGACAACACAGATAGATAAAAAGAGTGACACTGAGGAAAGAAAGATGTGAGCCTTCAAACCATGTTTTGGCTCTTGATCCTCTTTTTTTTTTTTTTTTTTTCACAGCAAGAACATGCTTAATGACGCCATATAGGAGCTTTGTTCAAGTCAAAAGTTAACTTCCTCACATGCTTTTGAGAACTAATCTATTGCTATGACTTATTTCTTTGTCCTGAAGAATCTTATTGCAGCCTCTTCATCATTAGGTAATTGTAAAATTGTGTAATCCATCATTTTAAATAGATAGCGAAATATAGCAAAAAAATAATGAGTGATGATACTTCAAACTAGAACTGGAAATCTCAAGCCACGATATTTGGCGTGTTGTTGAAGCATTGTTTACTTCTTATTTTTAACTCATGCCACTTTAATGGAATAGTACCAAGGTATTTTTTAGGAAAAAAAATAGTAATAGTGACCATGTAAATATTTAATGATCTAATCAGGGTATCTAACTATATATATAAGCATTTATAACTAATTGCTTACCCTTAGAAGTTATCTCTACATGTTAAGGTGAGTTATTGTCTTTCTGTAGTCCTTACTGTGGACATAAGATCAGTCCCGGATCTAAGGGGCGGGCAAGCCGGGGTCTGTGCCCAGGGCGGCAACTTCTGGCGGCGGCAAATTCAAGCGTGGCGCTGGATCTTGGAATGCTGTCTAATTTTGATACAACACTAGCAGTTTTAAAGCCAGGTTTAAAAATCTCTTTTACCCCTCTGCAGCTACATGAGCATTGTGCACTACAGGATTCATTAATTTGAAAAATCTTCAGAAAGGTTAACTGAAAAGAATCTGAAATCCATAAAGAGTGCATGATTAAGTGGAAAATTTGACTGAAACAAATGAAATTGTATCAAGGCATTGATCATGACGCTGAGTGGCCAGTTCACACAGAGAAAGAAAAATCCTACACAAGACAGAGAGAGAGAGAGAGATCCAACACATAGTTATAGGTACTGCATTTTATCTTTCAACAAACTGTCTTTCTTCCCATGGGTCTGATGAAACCCCTAGTAGTCTGCTCACAAAATGTACTGGGCCTAGTCAAGGCATTTTTTTTTTTTTTTTAATTTAATGACTCTGCCAGCCACTAGTAAGAACACCTAAAAAAGGAACAAGTATAATATTTATCAAAGACAATTCAAAATGAAATTATGGGCATAAGGGCAAAAACAGTTCACAATAGCATTTTAAACGATATTAAAGAAGCCAAATTTGCCTGTTTTGATTACTTTAACCAAAAAAAAAAAAAAAAAAAAAAAAAGGATGGATGAATCGAAACATTTTTCAAGAATGGTTCGAAAAATCTTTGTTCTTCAAGTGCGTAAACATCTTAAATCGAAAAATCCTGCCTTGAAAAAGCTGTGCTATTGATTCGTCAATGCACATCTTCTCACCCAGCAACAAGTGTGCTAAAGTTTTCTGATGGACAAATTTTTGCAGAATTTCTCCCTCCAAACGTTACCGCACTAATCCAACCTATGGATCAAGGAGTCATTGCAACAATGAAGAGAACATACCCAACCAAGCTGCTAATGACCAAAATTGAAGAAGGTTATGATCTGAAAGAGTTTTGGAAACACTACACAATCTTGGCAGCATCTGCGACATTGCATCTGCATGGGACTTGGTGAAACCGTCAACCCTCATAAAACCATGGAGAAAATTCATGTCTAATGTTGAAGCCAACAACAACCTAATCCCTTTGAGTTGTGAAGAAGAGAATGAAGATGTAGACACGCCCATGGCAACTCTTGCTGATATGGTGAAAACAGTTCCGGATGGTGAGAATGTCGATGCTGAAAACATTAACGAGTTGTTAGGGTGTGACGTCAATGAACCTGGCTTCGAACGCTTGACAGATGACGAAATTGTGAAAAAAGCAAGGGGAGAGACCGAGGACAGCGAAGTGAAGGCGAAGAAGAGCCCACTGTGCAGATGCGGAAGACTCACGAAGGGGCTTTGCAACAAGTCGGCGGTCTGCTGAACTATTTGGCAGAACAAGACACGATGTGGAGTTGGCCGAGAAATTCATGCTACGAAAAATGCAATCTCAGATCAAGAGAAAATGCTTTCAAAGCATGAAGCAAACACAAATGACTGATTTCTTCAAAAAGGTGTAGTTTTACAGTTATGCTTTTGTAATTACATAATACATTACAGTATTAAAACAATACATGTGTATTAATTTTTCTGTGTATCCTTGATGCCTCTCATAAGTATACAAAGCACTTTTCTATTTTCATTAACAAAATGCATTTTAGGTTAGTTTTGAGTGATATACTAAAATATTAAGCATTAGTTAAACATTTCCTGCTGTTTATTTTACGCTTTATTGTACATAAAACGATTTTTCAAAGTTGGAATGACTGCTTTCTCTTTTGCTATACCCGTTTTTAGCTTTTATCGGATTATCCGTGATTTATGTTATCCGCGGCGGCCCAATTCCGCGGATAATCGGGAGTATACTGTATATTAGAATTTTCAATTTTTCTTTAGCTTTTCTTCTATATTCAAATTATTTATTAGTTTCATTTTATAACTTCATGCCTGCTTGCTTGCATTGTTATGTATAAATGGTGTAAGTAATATTCTTTTTTCACATTTGATAAGTATTTTGGGTATTATTAACGATGGCTATTGAAATTTTTTTGCTAATTTCACACGAAAAAAGCATAATAATCCATTTTTCTTTTCTTTTCTTCTTTTTTATTGTTGTTGTTAAAAATGTTATTCTAAGTTTTTTTTTTTTTTTTTTTTTTTTTTTTTTTTTTTAAAGACTTCTAAATCAGATCCTGCAAAGAAAACAGATGGAGGAGATTCTGAGGAAGAGCACATTCCAGATGAAGCTGTTGTGGAATCACTTGTTAAAGAATTACCTCAAGCCTCTGATAAAACAACTGAAATATTAGATTCAGCATTATCCTCTTTGCCCTCAAGGTATCTTTCTATTGTTCCGTTAGAATCCTTTTAGTATGTTCTGTGCACTACTTGTATTATATTTATGTTTTAAGTATCTAACTTTTCCTTTTTTTCAAGGAAAGGAACATTTTTCGTAAGTGCTGCTATTAAAATGCAATTCATATTAAGAAATTTTGTATACTTCATAAAGTATTATATTTAAGGCTGGCCCGTGTAATATTAAAATATTCTCCCCCCTTCCCTTTCTGAAATCTTGTATCAGTTTTTAGTCCAAAGGGGCTTTGTCCCTGAGGGACTATTGTTTTCGTTTTACGATTTTGCGTCGAATCACTCTGAATGTCCTTTTCACTTTTCAAACTGTTGCCACCAAATATTATCGCCTGGTATTATAATTGAAGAAATTAAATAACGAAGAATCTGCATAAATGTGTATATGTTTCTCGCATTGTGATAAAACAATGGTACCTAGAGCCATCAAATTTTGAATGATGTAATCCTACTGTGAATATGAGCATGTGGAAGCCCAAATATTTGATTTGGAATTTGCTTTATTATCAATTTCATATTTTGTAAAACTTTAACAAATTTTTTGTTAACAAACTGAAGGATTTCAAAGCGAGCAATGGCAACATTGTACAAAAAATACATTTTTATCTCCAGTGCAGGAGACTGTGTATCGGAAATTCTAACGATATGCTCAGTTTAAAATTATTTTATAATATTGCTCTTGAACTGAATTGTATGGTTTAAGTGCAAAGAAAATGATATTTAATAAATAAAGGGAACTCACGAAATAAAAAAAATAAAAAAGCCCCTTTGGATGTTATTTAAAATCTAAAACCTTTCAGATTTGATTTTTTTTTTTTTTTTTTTTTAATGTGGTAAATTATAATTGGAAGACTTTAAAAAAATATATGCATTCATTGTTTATTCTTCATCGCTGAAACTAAAAACTAGAACTAGGATAGGATAGGATAGGAATATTTTCTTAAGTATTATAAAATGTAAGTTTTGTAAATTTCAAGTAATGACTGATTAATTAAAATATGATAATCTATATCTGGACTAAGTACTATTTCTGGAGGGGGGAGGCAAGGCATTGTTTTGAGTATTTTATTCAGTCTACCTTTTCAAGGATGACTCACTAGTCATTGAGAAATTCTTAAAATATTTTTATAAAGACTTTTTCATCTTTTTTTTTTTTTTTTTTTTTTTTTTAAATGAAGATGCAGGTGGAAAGCACAGATTTTCTATGATTTTATTCACTTATTTTTTTGTTTGTTGTTTAAAGCTGAAACTATATTTTAACCATACAGTTGTGCCCTTGTACCTGCTGATTTGGTAATTCAATGTTAACAGCAGAATAATAACAATAAAACTGGAGTGAATTTTTAAGTTTATAAATGTGCATCAGCAACTGTAAAGTAGTGAAATACTGAAATGGAATAAAATAAGCCAATATTATTTTCTCTATAAACAGCTTCTATGATAATCTCTTTTCTGATTATGCTACGTTGACTGTTTTACTATTTTTTCCCCCCATTTCCTTGTTGAAAAAATGCTTTTTATTTCTGGTATCTCCTAAAATGACATAGAAACTAAATTTCGTCATTCTTCACTCTATCTTTTGTGTGTTGGGCTAATATTTCAAAATTCCTGACTTTTTTTCATATAAAAGAAAGTATATTCTACCTATAAAATATATCTTATATAACTGTATTTAGTATGTAACTGTATTTAGTATGTAACTGTATTTGTATAGAAAGTAATTAAGGTTGGCATTAGTTGCCAGCCAGTACAATCTCTGATGGTTGTTAATTCTGTTTGGTGTCTTCCAAGATTCTAAATATTTTTCCATCCCTAAATTTTGTAGCCCAGTGCCTCTTTTAAATTAAAAAAAAAAAAAAAAAAAATTATTACACCAAAACTTAGCTGCTGATTACTTCTGTAAATGCTAAAAATTTTGACACCGCTAAATTCTGCCCCTTGGTGTGACCATATCTGTTGCATTGACTCTGGTTCTGGCCCTGAATGTTGCATAGTATATAATATAAATTATATTTTACAAAATGTTGGTAGCAGATTTCCTGTAGATTTAATCAAATTTATGTATGTTACACAAATTCTTGTTTTATATAATATATTTGCTATTATCTGCAGTAAAGCTTGGAATGTGTTGTCTATTGAACTATTGTGCATCTTATTTCTGTTATAAAATCTCATTTTTATTTTTATGATAGCAATAAAGTATATTAAAATTGGGTACCACTGGAAAGATACTTTTACTGGCTTCTTGTGATTTTTGAAAGAATTAAAGATTAAAAAGGAATTTAAGAGGATTAAAGATTAAAAATTGAATATGGGATTAGACAGGAAGCAATGAATGTTGATTGTTTCCTGTCTAATTCCATATTCAATTTTTAATATTTTCAATCTTTAATAAATAGCTTTAGTTGTAGCAGGAAACAATTAACATCCATTGCTGCCACTGTGTATTATAAGTTCTTTATCATTTGCATAACTTGGCAGATTGACAGGTCTCGGCAATATTATCATTTGACATAGCATAAGAACTTATATTTATTAAACAAAATGCATGATTTAAGCATTATACATATTTCTTAATATGTTTTTTGTTTAATATCTGTAAATGATATAATTTATAAAATATCTAATTGCTTATTTTTATAATTATTCACACCATTATTAGAGTATGAGGACTTAATGGGCATTATTGTTGAAACATTGAAGATAATGATCATTACATAATAATATTTGTAATCACTTAAGTCTGCAGAGATTTTGTGGCATATTCCAGAGATATGCTAGGAAGTATTGAATTTCAAAGCTTTAAATATAATTAAGTTCCTATTAATCAGGCGTGTAATAATGCAGTTCGGTTTCCAATGCAGTGAGATTAAAGATTCAGGAATGAGTGTAAGTGAATTATAAGCATGCTGTATCTAGATGTCTTTTAAACTGTTAAGCATATAATAGAAAAATTTAAACATAATTATAATAATTAAAGATAATTCAGTGAAAGCTTCTACCTGAATCTTTTTTTTTCCTATAATTTTAAAGACTAATTTATTACATTGAGATTAGAAAAAAAATGGAGAAATTCCCTTTGTAACAATTAATTAATTATATATTTATCTCTTAGGTGGCGTAACTGGATTGTCCGGGGCATCTTTACTTGGTTGATGATATTTGGTTTTTTCTTCTTAATCTGGCTTGGACCATTAGCTTTAGTTGTAACAGTAAGTTTGATTTCTTACTGTCTGCAGTATGTTTAATAATTTTATCTGTCCATTATCTGTTCATCTTTAAGTTATAAGTTTTAAAAAAAATCTGTGAAACAACTACTATGGTTACTCATCAAAATTGACAGACTTAATCACTAAATTTGTGACATATAACTTATTGATTTTCAGGTGTTAGTTTCTATTTGCCAAAAGCCTATACAATGGCTGCTTTAACAAGAAAGTATCATTTTTGATTTTATTCTCTCTTTATATGTGTGCATGTAAGATAAAAAATATGTAAAGAAAATTCTAACTTTCATTTGCATTTGTCCCTTAATTCTCCATTATAATTTGGATATATCCCCTCTGTGTCCTAAAAAATAGCATCTGCTTGTAATAAACCTCCCTAAATTGTGTTATGATTCTTGCATAACACTAGTGATACAGGTAATTTTCCAAAGTGAAAACTAGTCTTTACCAAATCAATCTTTACCATCATCTTAAACATGTCACATTTTGATCTCTCACTTTGCTACTACCAACTTGCTGCTGCTGTCTTGAAATATAATTCAAAATTCTATTCGGTATTGTTATAATTCTACAAGAACAGGCCCATACTGCATTACTTTATCTGTATTGGTTAAAAAATTTTCAGCAATGAGAATTAAAAAAAAAGGGAATAGTAAAATTGATCATAACTGCAACTGCCATCAACTTATGTCTTCAACATCCAAATTATTTAAGGTACAGTTTATACATCATTTCATGTTAGTCCTGATTCGATTCTATTTATTTTAATAGTAAAATATTTCTTTTACACAATGTATAACTTTGGTTTTTTTTTTTTTTTTTTTTTTTGACTTACTATATTGGTTTTACATTTCACAGTCCCACCTTTCAAGTATTTTTTTCAGAAATGGGGATAGGAGAAGGAATCATAGGCATGAGATTTCACAGTCTGATATAGGAATTGAAAAACCAGTCATGAATAGAGGGGATACTTGGAAGGAAAACTTCCTTCTGAACAGGATGCTGTGTTAAGTGTACTAGATGCAGTAGAAATAACTGATACAAAATGTCTCAAAATCAGAAGGCACTATCATTAAAAGATACAGTCAAAGTCTTAAAAAGAATTTGATGACAATACTGGTTTGATGAAGTTGAGTTAGCAAAGGAACTAGATATTCCTGTTGACAACACTATAAGTGGCATTAGACTTAGCTCTTATTAGACCCTGACTATCGACAAATAGTCTGAGTCATCTTAGCTTATCATCTGTTTCACCATTAAACGACTCTTTTTGTCTTAATAACATTAAAGCTATTTCTCCCCTTTCTATTTTAGATACAGTCAGATCCTTAGAATGGTTGTTATTATTATTCTTACATACATTATTATAAAATCTGAATATCCATGATAACATTATTACAATTTTCTTAAATGATGAGAAATACTTATAGTACCATCCAATACAATTATCACTCTTGTGCCAACGTAACAATAACTGTCTTACGTATTTCTGAATTAACCAAATCCTCGTCCGGTTCATCATTAGATTTAGGCCAATTTGCCTCATCTTCCCGTAACTAATCAGGTACCTCCTACCATTTTTGTTCTATTAATTGATCTGCATAACAACCTCTAGAAAGTAGGTCAGCAGGATTGAGACCAGGGACATGTCGCCATACAGTGGGGGGGGGGGTCAAAGACTTCCTGTACACGATTAAAAACGAATGCTCCCCAGCATTGATTTCGCTGTATCCAACTTAAAGCCGTCGAGGAGTCAGTCCAACTGTAAATACGAACTTCATACAGGCCAATATCATTAATAACTGAAGACAATAACCTAGAACCAATATTACAAGCAAGAAGTTCTAATCGAGGAATCGTAATAGGTTTTAAAGGAGCTACTCTCGATCTTGCGTGTATCAAACTAACCTTCACCTTTTTGCCACTCTGTACTCTTAAAAAGGTGCATGCACCATACGCACTTTTACTACTATCACAAAAGAGATGTATACTCACAGCTTCATTAATAGATTTGAGACCTACCCATCTAAGTATTTGGATACTGGATAGCAAGTGCAACTTTTTACGCCAAAACCTAAATTTTTGGTTAATTCATCAGGAAGAACATCATCCCATTTAAGCCTTAAATTCCAAGTTTCCTGTAAAATTAGTTTTGGAATCAACATTACAGGAGCTATATGCCCTATAACGTCAAACACCTGATGAGCTGCTAAAACTAGTCTTTTAGTAACTAGGTCATCCAATTTTATATCTTGACTTATTTTGCAAGATAAGGTATCTGTAATTGTATGCCATACAAGGCCCAAAACAGACACATCTCCTTCCGTGAAGGAATCTTCCTCTGGTACAACATTTCTTATACAGTCAAAAGTCGTTAATTCGGACACCCATAATCCGGAATGATCTATAATCCGGACCTCAAAGCTACAAACTTTCTGCGCATGCGTCGTGTTGACGCATGCGTGTAAGACCTTTACCGCTGCGAATTTGCTTGTGCGCATGCGCAAAATACGTTTACGAATGTGCGTTTAATGTATAACGGATGGGATAAGCTAAGCTAAAATTATCTAATTATCTATTTCCGTTAATGTTGCAGATTGTGTTGTTCCTTAATCTTCGAATTGGATCCGGATTATTATTTTTTGCAGACTGTTAGAGCAATTTTATGAAAGTAAGCTTGAACTTTCGATTATGTCAAATAGAATTTCGGATATATATTTGCTAATAAGTAAAGGATATACAAAGCGAAAGTATCTTTCGGAGTCCATTAAACAAAAAGTGGAATTGCTGCAAAAAATGGATAAAAGCATATCCATTGTTTATCTAAACTTTGTTTATCTTTAACCCGGGGGTGGCGTGAAATGAATTGGAAGTTATCTTCAGCATATCCTTATCTTAAGGCAGATGTTTTTATTTTATTTGGCTTATAATTGCTTATCAAGTAGTATTTATCTCGTCTTTGATATGATTTAAATCAAATGCCTCGTCATTATAATTCGCTTCCGATAGCAAAGAAAGTGTCAGAGGTTATGAAAACGAAAAAATTTCGATGGCAAATTAGTCGGTATTCTCGACACACAATTATAGGACTTGAACACGGAACTTTGTAACTGAACAAGAAATTATGTCTGTTTATAGAATTAAAGAGAATGTATTATAACATAAAAAAGGAAACAACCCTGGACAGGGTGGTTTCTTATATTGGATTTCCAGAATCTTAAATTAAAATGACCCGAAGCCATAATTATTTGTGATTCATTTACAAACTTTCTCATTTCTATTTCTGAATCCATACTAGCCACACAGTTATCTACGTAAAAGGATGTTTTCAAAATCTCCGCTGTATGACTTAAGCTTTCGGGAACTACACTCAAATGATATTGTATTGTAGCGGCCAATAAATACGGACTACACGTAATACCAAAAACTACCCTTCCATGCCGATACAGTTCAACTTGTTCTTGATTATCCCTACTGAACCACATAAATCTCAAAAAGTCTCGATCTTTTTCCCTTATAGATATTTGCAAGAACGCTTTTTCTATATCTGAAGTGACACCAACGTAATTCTTGCGAAACCGATTAAGAATCGAAGGTATAATTTCTATTAAATTTGGTCCAGTAGATAAACAATCGTTCAATGATGGGTAACCAGGCGAATGAGAACTTGCATTAAACACCGGTCTTATACTCGTGCTACTATTTTCTTTAACAACCGCTCTATGAGGTAAATAATGTACACCCTTATATTTATTCTTATCCGGTACTTTTTCAATTATCCCGAGTGCTAACCAGTTCTGAAAAACGTCTCCGTAAGCGTCAAAATTTCCCGTAGTCATTAATTTTCTTTTAGTACTTACAAGACATTTTTCTGCTATCACTTTGTTTTCGGGCTATCCGACACCCAAGGTAATGCTACTTCGTACCTTCCCTCTGAATTTACCGTAAGAGTCTCTTCAAAATATTTTTGCGTATCCTCCTGTAACTGAGTTTTGGTTTTACTTACGGAAGGTTCACCTAATACCCAAAACATCTAACTTCCAGAGATCACTTATACATTGACCCTTCACTAACAGAGAAGAAATTAGGAGGGATGCAGTATTTATCGTAGTTGGCTCAGTGCCAGTAAATTTACCCATAACAGTCCAGCCTAACTGCGTATGCACTGCGCTGACGCCGCCGCACGTAAGGGGAACAATTTTTCCAGTTAGCAACTTACCAGCAAAATCCGCACCAATTAGTAATTTTATCTCTTTATCTACCTTACATGTACCATTTTCTAAATCACTTAATTTGATACCATGTGACTTAAGTTCGCGTAACCACGAACCAGATGGGAGTTGCTTAATTTCAGAACAAATTTTGTTTTGACCAAGTACCTCTAATTTACACTTATATTTACTATATATATTGCTTACTTCAATAACATAGTTTTTATATACATTTTCTGAAGTCTCAACTCCACCAAAAAGAAATTGCTTAATTTTTGATTCACCAATACACTTACAATTTAACCTTTGAGCAACATCATTACATAAATATGATTTCATAGAACCACTATCAAAATAAAACACAAACAAGAACCATTCTGAATTTTTACATTAAAGTTTGAAGATATACATCTGATACCTTAACATAGTTATTAAGATCATTCCCTAACTTTGTGACACTTTTTGTTTTGTTAGAAGGCAAATCAGGGCACATAATCACAAAATGTCGATTTTTACATAAGGTACACCTATGTTTAGCTGTGCACTGATTTGCTCTATGGTTTTTCTTAAGGCACACAAAACAAACATTCTTTTTCTTAATAATATCTTTCTTACATTCTAAACTCATTAAAGATGCATCTTTACAACTTTCAGACAAATGGGATTTTTCACAAAAAATACAAGTATCAGACTTTTTATACTTTTGAAAATTTTCATTACACTTACTACTATTTGCATTAATTAGTTCACATGCAGTTGGAACAACAGGTTTTG